CCCATTCTTTTTCAGACTGGGTCTTAAAACAAATGGACACTTGGAACTGCCTACACACCCTAGCAACCTCTACAGCACTCCCAGCCCCTGGGTTTTCTCTCCTCCGATTCACATAATCCTCAGCTGCTAGCATAATCTTTCTCAAATTCCCTTCTCATGAGGTCACTCTCTAGCGCAATCAGCAGCAGCAGCTCCCTAGGTCTATTTTATTAACTCTGAAGTCATCAGCCTGCAACTCAGAGCTATTTCTCTACTGTCCCCAGCACCACTATTACAAACAACTTCACAGAGCCTCCACTTTCAGACAAGCTGATTGGCTTACTTACACTCCCCTGCCAGCCTAATTTCTTCTCTTGTGCATCTGAGACTGCTGAATTTTAGGCCAGTTAACACAGATTTTCCTCTATCAATGTGTGTGTGTGTGTGTGTGTGTGTGTGTGTGTGGTGTGTGTGTGTGTGTGTGGTGTGTGTGTGTGTGTGTGTGTGTGTGTGGCTTGAACTGGGCTGGGCACTGTCCCTGAGCTCTTCAGTTCAAGGCTAGCGTTCTACTACTTGAGCCACGATGCCACTTCCAATTTTCTGGTGGTTAATTGGAGATAAGAGTCTCACAGACACTCCTGCCTGGGCTGGCCTTGAACTATGATCCTGACCTCAACCTCCTGAGTAGCTCTGATTACAGGCACTGGCGCTCAGCAATGTAGTTTTATATTAGCCAGTACCTCAAATGGTATATTACCTCAGAGTATATTATTTTTTAATTATTGTTTAATTAGCCTTTTATGAAAATTTACTCAGATAAAGTCACTGCAAAATCTTTATCTTCTTTTTGCTAGTACCAACATAGGCATTTGCAGTCACCTGACTTTCCTAATTCTGTTAACATTCTTTCACTATTTTCTTGAGGTCTTTTTCTTCTCATACACTTCATGTCTTGCATGTCTATGTTTGGGTTTTGGGGTTTTTTTTGTATAATCCAAGGAATTATGAATCATACCAGTTGTCTTGCCTCTACCAAAAGGGATTGTAAGGGCTGGCAAGGTGGCTCAGTGGTAAAGTGCTTGCCTTGCATGCTTGAGGCCCTGGGTTCGATTCCTCAGCACCACATAAGCAGAAAAAAAAAGCCGGAGGTGGCGTTGTGACTCAAGTGGTAGAGTGCTAGCCTTGAGCTGAAGAGCTGAGGGACAGCGCCCAGGCCCAGAGTTCAGGCCCCACGACTGGACCAAAAAAAAAAAAAAGGGATTGTAAGTCTCCTTGGTAATGGTCTCTCACACCTGTAATTCTACACTACTCACGATGTTGAGATCTGAGGATCATAGTTCAAAGCCAGCCTGGGCCGGAAAGTTTTATCTCCAATTAACCACCAACAAGCCAACAGTGAAGCTTTGGTTCAAGTATAGAATGTTAGCCTTGAGCAAAAATGCTCATGGCCAGTGCCCTCAGTTCAAACTTCATGACCCCTACCACCACACACACACAAAAAAAAACAAAAACAAAAACCCACATCTGATGTGATCTTCTACATTTTTGTTTCATTTTCCCAAAATTTGTCCTAAATCCTATTCCCTTCCCTGAGTGAAGAATATTGATGATCATTTATTTCCTTTGAAGTAGTAGATTAGTCATGTTGATCTCCCTGATCAGGATAGTTGGTAGTGGTAGTGGTTCATGGTGGCAGTGTACCCTTAGGCAGCCGGGGAAAGCCACATTGGTTAAGTCCCTTAAGGTCTTATGTGATGGATCAACATCAACTCTGGATCCAATGAAGAATCAAATAGCTGGTTGTGGTAGTACATACCTGTAATTCCAGCACTCAGAAGGCTGAGACAAGGGAATCTAGAATTGCAAGTCAGCCTAGACAACACAGCAAATACATAAAACACAAGACAACACAGAGCATCAAGTTTGGATTGGTAAGAGATAAAATTAAGTAGTCAAGTCATTAAATAATCAGACATTCCAAAAATATTTATATATTTATAATATTTTAACATTTGTACAATAGTTTTTTTGTTCAGTTGTGGGTCCTGAACTCTGGGCTTGGGCACTGTCCCTCAGCTCTTCAGCTCAAGGCTAGCATTCTACCACTTGAGCCTCAGCGTCACTTCTGGCTTTTTTTTCTGCTTATGTGGTGCTGAGGAATCGAATCCAGGCCCCTCATGCATGCAAGGCAAGACTCCGAGGTGATGAGCCAAAGTCTCTGCCCTCATGGAGTTTATGTAAAATTCAAGTTGCCTGGCTGGGACTGTGGCTCAGTAGTAGAGTGTTTGCCTAGCATGCATGAAGCCCTGAGTTTGATTCCTCAGTACCACATAAACAGAAAAAAGTCTGAAGTGGCTCTGTATCTCACGTGGTAGAGTGCTAGCCTTGAGCAAAAGAAGCTCAGAGACAGTGCTCAGGCTCTGAGTTCAAGCCCATGACAGGCAAAAAAAAAAGTATAAAAAAATTAAAATTGCCATACACTTTATGCTACGAGGAGTCAATAATCTAAATAAGGTAAAACAAGGACTACTCTGAGGACATAATATTAAGGCTTGAGGCCAGGCGCCCATGGCTCATGCCTGTAATACAAACTACTCAGGAGGTGGAGATCTGAGGATCTGCATTTCCTGCTTGGGCAGGAAAGCCCATGAGACTTTTATCTCCAATAAACCACCAGAAAACTGGAAGTGGCACTTGGCTCAAGTGGTAGAGCACTAGTCTTGAGCTGGAGAGCTCAGGGACAGTGCCCAGGCCCAGAGTCAAGTCCCACAACAGAGGGTGGGGGAGAGAGAGGGGAGAGGGGAGAGGGGAGAGGGGAGAGAGAGGGTAAGCAAGAGCCAGTGATGGAGAGGGAGGGGGAGAGGGAGGGGGAGAGGGAGAGGGAGAGGGAGAGGAAGAGGGAGAAGGAGAGGGAGAGGGAGAGGGAGAGGGAGCGAGCACGCATACATGCTGGGAAGATAGCTCAGTGGTAGAGTGCTTGCTTTGCATGCATGAGGCCCTGGGTTCGATTCCTCAGCACCACAAAAGCAGAAAAAGCCAGAAGTGGCACTGTGGCTCAAATGGTAGAGTGCCTTGAGCTGAAGAGCTGAGGGACAGCACCCAGGCTCAGAGTTCAGGCCCCATGACTGACAAAAAAAATAATAATAAATATGGGGAAGCCAGGCACTGATGGCTCATTCCTATAACCCTAGCTATTCAGGAGGCTGAGGATCACAGTTGGAAGTCAGCTCGGGCAGCATGTCCATGAGACTCTTATTTCAAATTAATCACCAAAAAGCTAGAAGTGGAGCTGTGGCTCAAGTGGCAGAACATTAGTCTTGAGCAAAAAATAAATCTCAGGGACAATGCCCAGGCCCTGAGTTCAAGCTCCAGGACTGGCACCCCCCCCCCTACACACACACACAAAATAAACGGAAATCACTTTAGAACCAAAGAGTAATACATATAAATAAGGCTTCCTAACCATCCAGAAGGTACGTTTAAAGCATCCTCTATATATTTGATCCTGTCTATGGAGGAGGTAGAATCTGGCAAAAGATTTGTTTCAATAAATAAAACTGGCTGGATACCTCTTCCAACCACTAGTGGTTATGGAAAAATAGTATCAGTAGTTTGCAGATTCAGTATAAACCATGAATAGGATAATTTGTCCTGGTAGTGGTGAGACCAAAATATGCTATGTAGAAAAAAAGTACTCTCTGTTCCATAAAGTGGGAGTTGGAGGGAAAGCTCTTTAGAACCACAAACACTGCCAATAGCAAGAAAGGCCTTCAGTGTCTGTTGGCCAAAAATGTCTACAGGCAAAGTCTAGACTGGAGAGCCATAAGTGGAAAGACCAGGCAAGTTCTTCCGCAAGGACCCACGTACTGACTTTCTGCCTAAGACCTGAGTTGTAGACTTCAATCCTTGCTCAAAGCATATCTGAACTTTTTTCCCTATCAGGTCACTGTCAGAGATTGCCATTGCTATAAATCACATGTCAAGGACCTTAAAGGTCGACAGAGAAGAACACTGGACACAAAGAAGAGCAGGGAATTCTCGCGTAGAGCCATTTGTGGTAAGCACTAATTCATGACAAAGTTCCCAACCCTTACCCAAATGCAGACAACTTTTAAAGTTTCAACAAGTTAAATGATAATAAAGAAAACTGGGAGCTGGTGGCTCGCGCTTGTAATCCTAGCTACTCAGGAGGCTGAGGTCTGAGGATCGCGGCTCAAAGCCAGCCCGGGCAGGAAAACTGGAAGTGGCACTGTGGCTCAAGTGGTAGCCTTGAGCTGAAGAACTGAAGGACAGCGCCCAGGCCGAGTTCCGGCCCCAAGACCTACAATTTAAAAAAGAAAAGAAAAAGAAAACTCGTTCAAAAAATGAGAGGCCCAAGCAACCTTCTCAGCAATCTTTCTGGAACTAATACCTGAACTCTCCCGACCTCTCTTCTGTCTTCACTTTTCTTCTGATTCTACTCATCCTTCAAAACCTAGTTTAAATCTTTATTTTTACTTTGTCGTAATCCCAATTAGCTTCGCATAGCACACAACATAGTATGTTTGTTGTTGTTGTTGTTACAGTTTTTCTTTTAAATAGACTCGAGGACTTGCTTTCCTACATGTTTTCAGAGCTGGCAATCCTTCCAAATAAATATCCCCTGACTTTCCTTGGAGCCTTGAAAGGAACTTCTGGAACTGATCAAAATCTAAACACAAAGGATAAATACTTTTGATTCAAGTCAGCCCCAAAACTCTAAAGTTTTACCCTTTGCTCATTTTACTATGCATCAATTTGTCCAGAAAGGCGGAGCAGCGAACCCAGATGGCAGTTCTGCCACGTAACGCTCCCGCCCACTCCGTCGGGCCACGCCCAGCGTGCTAGTTGGCGATTGGGCGTGGCCCAATAGTTAGCGTGGCCGATTGGGCGTGGCGTGCGTGGGTGAAGGCGTGCCTGGGAAGAGCAACGTCCTGATTGGTCCAAACTCGATAGTTTCCGGTAATCCTCGACAATTTCCGGCAACGGTCACCTCCTCCGCCGACTCACTTCGGATATTTCCGCGGTCCTTCGGGCCTTTCCGTCTAGCTCTCGCTTAGAGCGCTCCATTTCGGGTTTTTCCGTCACCCGCTCGGAGGTATTCGGCTATCGCTCGGCCTCCCCATCCCCCGGTAACGGTCGCTGGTGAGTTTAAATGAGCCGGGGCTGGCCGAGCCGAAGCCGCTACGGTGGGAGTGCCTGAGGCACTGCAGAAAGTGGGCCTGAGCCGCTAGGATGACCGTGCTGCAGGAACCCGTGCAGGTAACCATAACCTCCGTCTCGGAGGCTTCGCGCGAAGCCTCAGTCGGCAAGCAGCGTTTAGCCACTTGGCGGCCTGGTGCGGCCTAGGCCTGGCTGCTTCTCCCGCCTCCCCTTCTGCGGGTCCGGCCTGTTTTCCGTCTGTGCCCGAGGCCTTGGCCGCCCACTAAGCCGTGTTGTCCCTGGCCCAGCGTTACCGCTTCCCTCTCCGTGTGAGTGGGGCTCGTCAGTAATCGCTTGTTTTCCGTCGGGGCTCGCCACAACCCCAGCCCCTCCTGTTCGTCTAGGGTCCTCCCCTCATCTGGGCCTGGTCGGTGTGGGAGGTGAGGGGCCGGAAGGGCGCCCCAAATGTCCTCTTGTCTCAGGGGTGACAAGGATACGCATTTGAACCGAGTTGGTTCGATCTTGATGGTGGTGGGACGAGTTTGCGAGGGAAATTTTGTGTGTGTGTTTTCTTGTTTGTTGTTTTTGGTTTTTTTCTGTGAAAGGGTAGAGAAAGTGGTTATCGAGACTCGGTGTTAATCCGAATTTCTATTTTGGTAGCAGACTTTTCTAGCCTTTCTCGTGTTGCCTTTCTCGCCAGTGGATTTCCCGTTGGACATTAATGATCTGAGAGAACTCCTAAAGATCAGTGCTGAGGTGCCAGCACCTGAACTAAGGGCGGGGGGCGGGGTGGGGGTGGGGGTGGTGATGGTGGTGGTGGTGGTGATGTGTGTGAAAAGAGCAAATCTGGGTTTTTCCATTGCCTGTGATGGGGATCAAGACTATTTTATTGTGCATGTTTATAAGGCAGTCTGGAAACGTAAGACAAACAATGCTTTTCCATCCATTTAATTGGCTCTACCACACCAAGGCATGCTTTGACGAGCTGTATTCTGTTGTCAGGGGAAAAACCTTACTGGATTTTAGGTGTATAGTGCAGTGCCAAGACGTTTTCCCTCCTGCCATCTGAAGGAAACGGAACCCGTAAGTCCCTTCGGAGACTTTGAGCCCACTCTGATCTCTGTATCCTTGGGGAAAGTTGATATCCATCAACTGTAATCATTGTGTTCTGAACTTTATTTATTTAGTTGTTTATGTGGTACTGAGGAATCGAACCCAGGGCTTCATGCATGCTAGGCAAGCACACTACCATACCACTAAGCCACATTCCCAACTCCTGAACTTTATTTTTAAGTTATAAACCACTGCAATTTTTTTTTCTTTTTTGGGGGGGATGAGGGGACGGTCGTGGGGCCTGAACTCTGAGCCTGGGCACTGTCCCTCAACTCTACCACTTGAGCCACAGCGCCACGTCCGGATTTTTTTTTTGCTTTTGTGGTGCTGAGGAATCGAACCCAGGGCCTCAGGCATGCAAGGCAAGCGCTCTACCACTGAGCCACCTTCCGAGCCCCAGCACTGCAATTTTTAGAAATTCCCTCGGATTGCCTAAATAGGCCTGCGATAGAAAATAGTAAATGTTTTAATAATCCCTGCTTCCATAGGGCCTTCATTTTTTGTAACAGCACAAAATACTCATTTCTCCTGGTTTGGCATGGTCTCCAGCTGTTCACATGGAACATATTTGGAAATATAAGGAAGGGTTGTTATCTTGGGAAATTTACCCATTTATAAGTTGGATCAGTCCTTCCAAAGCTGTGTTTCTTTTTTTTTGTCTGTCATGGGGCTTGAACTCTGGGCCTGAATGGTGTTCCCAGCTCTTCAGCTCAAGGCTAGTGCTCTACCGCTTGAGCCACTGTGCCACTTCTGGTTTTCTGAGTGGTTTATTGGCAGTAAGAGTCTCACGGACTTTACTGCCTGGGCTGGCTTTGAACCGTGCTCCTCAGATCTCAGCCACCTGAGTAGCTAGGATTATAGGAGTGAGCCACCAGAGCCCAGCCAAAGCTGTGTTTCTTTCTGTCCAAATTTCTCATACTGGTAGAGAAAACTTTGAGGCCTAACATGAGATTAAATAGGTGAAGAGAGGGGCTGGGAAGTTGGCTCAGTGGTAAAGTGCTTGCCTTGCAAGAATGAGGCCCTGGGTTCAATTCCTCAGAACCACATAAGCAGAGAATGCCAGAAGTGGTACTGTGGCTCAAGTGGTAGAGTGCTAGCCTTATACTGAAGAGCTAAGGGACAGTGCCCAGGCCCAGAGTTCAGGCCCACTATTGGCAAAAAAAAAAAAAAAGAAGAAGAAGAAGAGATTCCTCAAGCTGTTTAATTTCTATTTCATGTTTTTGAAATTTTCTCAGTGATTCTATTGTCTTTCTGGCCCAAAAAAATCTTTTTCAGTGATAAAGTGGTTGCACTGAGGACATATAACCACCATTTAAAGTCCTCTTAAGGGGCTGGGAAGGTAGCTCAGCGGTAGAGTGCATGCCTTGCAAGCATGAGGCCCTGGGTTCAATTTCTCAGCACCACATAAACAGAAAAAGCAGGAAGTGGCGCTGTGGCTCCAGTGGTAGAGCACTAGCCTTGAGCTGAAGAGCTGAGGGACAGTGCCCAGACCCAGAGTTCAAGCCCCATGACTGGCAAAAAACAAACAAAAAACAAAATAAACTCCTCTTAAAAGTAATACATTTAATATTTTTAATACACTTGATATTTTAAAAAGTTAAATTTGCTCCCCTCTCTATTGTATTTTTCACTAGATTGTAGGATGGTGGTAAGAAGTTTTGGGATATAAGTAGGTGAGAATATTAGTAGCAACTTTTTTTTCAATCCAGGCATGCACTGGGGAGACTGAGGCAGGAGGAACTCAAGGCCAGAGTGAGCTTAAACACACACACACACACACACACACACACACACAGAGTAGGGGTCTGGGAATGTGGCTTAGTGGGTAGAGTGCTTCCCTAGCATGTAAGCATGAAGCCACTCAAGGCCAGAGTGAGCTTAAACACACACACACACACACACACACACAGAGTAGGGGGCTGGGAATGTGGCTTAGTGGGTAGAGTGCTTCCCTAGCATGCAAGCATGAAGCCCTGGGTTGGATTCCTCAGTACCAAATACATAGAAAAAGCCAGAGTGATAAGGCTAGGGGACAGTGCCAGGTTCTGAGTTCAAGCTCCAGTACTGGCCAAAACAAAACAAAACAAAAAACAGTAGGCAGTGGGAGACAGTACTAAGAAAATGGGAAATAATTAGTAAGAAAGACTTAAAAATGTGATAGTTCAGTAAGGCAGTGTATAAACATGTGACTGGTTCCATGAATTTGAAAAAGAATGAGAGTAAGTTGGAAAATTGCTTCCTTTCTTGGAATGCCTCAGGATTGTGGTATTACTAGGCATAGGAAAAAGTTGACAGAAAAAAAGATTTGAAGTCTTATAATGGAATAGCCAGTGTGATATGCCATATATGCTTTAAATACAAGCCTCTTCCCAAATTACCTCTCATAGACAAGTAATATTTTGCGGGCTGGGAAGGTGGCTCAGGTGGTAGAGCACTAGCCTTGAGCTGAAGAGCTGAGGGACAGCGCCCAGGCCCAAAGTTCAAGCCCCACGACCAGACCCAAAAAACAAAAAACAAAAAAACAAGTAATATTTTGCATTTGTGTCTTTATACAAATCATATCTGTAGACAGAAGTTCTCTCACCTACTTTATGTTTAATAGCGACTATTGAGGAACACACTCTGGCCTAAATGACCTGAGTCAGTGTTAATTTGAATGTTCTTAAAAAGTAACTTGAAAAATTAGTTCTTTGGGTTTTGTCATGCTTTGTTTTGTGGTCCTAGGAACTGAACTTAGGATCTTGACTGCTAGGCCAGCAGTCACCACTTGAGCCTTACCTCTTAGTGCTTTCAGGGTTTTTTTTTCATTTTGCTTTATTTCTTTGTTTAGTTACATTTTGTATAGATGCTAACACTTTTGTGTCCAGGCCAGCCTTGAACCTCCATTTCCTACCTATGCCTCCTTGTTGAGTTGAGGTCTCTTAACTTTTTTGCCTGGACTGCTTTGAATAGAAATTGCATGACCACTACCGTGGGCTTAAACTCATGGCCTGGACACTAGTGGTCCCTGAGCTTTTTGTGTTCAGGGCTAGCATGCTACGACTTGAGCCACAGCTCCAATTCCAGCTTTTTTGGTGATAAATTGGAAATAAGATTCTCACACTCTTTCCTGCCCAGAGTGGCTTTGAACTGCAATCCTCAGATCTCAGCCCCCTGAGAAGGTAGAATTACGGGCTTGAGCCACTGGTGCCCAGCTGAAAATTGTTCTTTTTAGAAGAGGCAGCCTGGTATGGTTGCAAACAACTGTAATCCCAACACTCTAGTGGCCAAGGCAGGAGGGTGTTGAGTTTGAAGCTGTCCTGGCCTACATAGCAAAATCCTGCCTAAACATAAAAAAAAAAAGCAGTCATTTTATATACATTTACCAGTTACTTCTAGGAATAAGATTTCACAATTGGAAATGTTGGATGAAGTTGTAATTGGGTACTATATTACTATGTATATACAATATCTTTGAGAATCTTTGGATCATGAAGAACTACTGTTGGCTTGGAATAAAGTGTCCATTGGTGGTTTGTAACATTGTTTTAAAAAGTAGCATACATGGGGATAGGGGACAGTGGCTCATACCTGTAATCCTAGCTACTCAGGAGGCTGAGACCTGAGGATCTCAGTTCAAAGCCAGCCCTAGCCAGAAGTCTGTGAGACTCTTTATCTCCAATTAAACCACCAGAAAACTGGAAGTGGCACTGAGGCTCAAGTGATAGAGCACTAGTTTTGAGCTGAAGAGCTGAGGGACAGCACCCAGGCCCAGAGTTCAAGCCCTATGACTGACAACAACAACAAAAAAAACTTTGCTGTTTGGGAAGTGCTATGGTAAGTGGTGGGCAAGAGCAAAAACAATAATCTTAAAGGCGAAGTAGTAAGTCTCAAGTAGCAGTAGAATAGGGACGAGTAGATTTCAAGAAATAATTTAGAAGCAGAAATTCAAGAAATATTTGAGGAATTGTTTGATAGGGAGCATATCATGAATGACTGCCTTGATTTAATTGTGGTAGTGCCATTTA